TCCACCTGGCGACGACCTGCGCAGCTATGCTTATGAGGGAAGGATCGTCTCGCTCACTGTCCTCATGTAAGTGTGTTTGGGTGTAGGATACTGTAGTAGGGTGTGGGATACTGTAGTGGGGTGTAGGATACTGTTGTGAGGGTGTAGGATGCTGTAGTAGGGTGTAGGATGCTGTTGTAGGGTGTGGGGTGCTGTATTGTGGGGTGTAGGATACTGTGTGGGGTGGGGATACTGTGTGGGGTGTGGGATACTGTTGTGAGGTGTGGGGATACTGTGGGGTGTAGGATACTGTTGTGGGGTGTAGGATACTGTAGTAGGGTGGAGGGGATACTGTTGTGGGGTGTGGGATACTGTTGTAGGGTGTGAGATGCTGTAGTAGGGGTGTAGGATGCTGTTGTGGGGTGTGGGATACTGTTGTGGGGTGTGGGATCTGTAGTGGGGTGTAGGATACTGTAGTGGGGTGTGTGGGATACTGTTGTGGGGTGTGGGTACTGTGTAGGGTGTGGGGATACTGTTGTGGGGTGTGTGGGATGCTGTTGGGGGGTGTGGATACTGTTGTAGGGTGTAGGATGCTGTAGTAGGGTGTAGGATACTGTTGTAGGGTGTAGGATACTGTTGTAGGGTGGGGATACTGTTGTGAGGGTGTGGGATACTGTTGTGGGGTGTGGGATACTGGTAGGGTGTAGGATACTGTAGTAGGGTGTAGGATACTGTTGTGGGGTGTGGGATACTGTTGTAGTGGGGTGTAGAGATATGTGTGGGGTGTAGGATACTGTTGTAGGTGTAGATACTGTTGTAGGGTGTAGGATGCTGTTGTAGGGGTGTAGGATACTGTTGTAGTGATACTGTAGTAGGTGGTGGATACTGTTGTAGGGGTGTAGGATACTGTTGTAGGTGTAGGATACTGTTGTAGGGTGGGTGGGATACTGTTGTAGGGTGTAGGTACTGTAGTAGGGTGTAGGATACTGTTGTAGGGTGTAGGATACTGTAGTGTAGGATCTGTAGTGGTGGATACTGTTGTAGGGTGTAGGATACTGTTGTAGGTGTAGGGACACTGAGGTGTAGGATACTGTTGTAGGGGTAGGATACTTTGTAGGGTGTAGACATTGTTGTGTGTAGGATACTGTTGTAGGGGTGTAGGGGCAATGTTGTGGGGTGTAGGATACTGTTGTAGGGTGGGGGTACTGTAGGGTGTAGATGCTGTTGTGGGGTGTGGGATACTGTTGTGGGGTGCAGGATGCTGTTGTAGGGGTGTAGGATACTGTTGTAGGGTGGTGATGCTGTTGTAGGGTGTAGGATACTGTTGTAGGGGTGTAGGATACTGTTGTAGGGGTGTAGGATACTGTACAGGGTGTAGGATACTGTTGTAGGTGTAGGGTGCTGTTGTAGGGTGGGATACTGTTGGTGGGGTGTGGGGTACTGTTGTAGGAGGGCAATTGCTGTAGGTGAGGATACTGTAGTAGGCAGGGTACTGTTGTGGTGGAGGATACTGCTAGGGGTGTAGGGTGCTGTAGTGTAGGATACTGTGGTAGGTGTGTAGGATACTGTTGTAGGGGTGTGTGGATACTGTTGTAGGGGTGTAGGATGCTGTTGTAGGTGGTAACGTTGTGGTGTGGTGATACTGTTGTAGGGTGTAGGATACTGTTGTAGGTGTTGGATGCTGTTGTGGGTGGTGATGCTGTTGTGTGTAGGGATACTGTTGTGGGGTGTGGGCATTGCTGGTGTGGGATGCTGTAGGGTGTGTGGGGTGCTGTTGTAGGGTGGTAGGGACTGTTGTAGGGTGTAGGGATGCTGTTGTAGGTGTAGGTTGCTGTAGGGTGTGGGATGCTGTGTGTGGGGATGCTGTTGTGGGTGGTGATACTGTTGTAGGGTGGTGGGATACTGTTGTGGGGTGTGGGATACTGTTGTGGTGGGTGTAGGATGCTGTAGTGTGGTGGGATACTGTTGTAGGGGTGTAGGATACTGTTGTGGGGTGTAGGGTACTGTTAGGGAGGGTGGGTACTGTTGCAGGGGTGTAGGATACTGTTGTAGGGTGTGGGGTGCTGTTAGGTGTAGGAATACTGTTGTAGGGTGTAGGTACTGTTGTAGGTGCAGGATGCTGTTGTAGGGGTAGGATGCTGTTGTAGGTGTGGGGTACTGTTGTGGTGTGCAGGGTACTGCTGTAGGTGGTGGATACTGCAGGGTGTAGGTACTGTTAGGGTGTGGATACTGCTAGGGTGTAGGATACTGCTGTAGGTGTAGGGTACTGTTGTAGGGTGGTGATACTGTTGTGGTGTGTGATACTGCTGTGGTGTGGTGTTGGTCACAGGGTGCAGGATACCGTTGTAGGGTGTTGGGTACTGTTGTGGGTGTAGGATACTGTTGTAGGGTGTAGGGTACTGCTGAAAGTGGTGTACTGCTGGGGTGTAGGTACTGTTGTGGGGTGTGGTGATACTGGGTTGTGTGTAGGCATTGTTGTAGGGTGGGCAGCCACGTAACTGGAACTAAAGGCTATTACTGA